GAACACCACATTTTAAATCACATAGCCGGTCCCGCCGCTCGATTAAATTACGGTGTACTTCAACAGCATAAAACATTTAATATCAGTGACATCACACATCGTTGAAGCAGTCGGGATTTACTGACATCAATCTCCTGAAAGGGCTGAATTTGTACGGAGACACAACGGCTGAGAGGACCGGTCAGTTTTCCCCTCAGAAATTTCTCAAAACTCCGACAGTGAAAACACGGCTATTATTTCCCCGTTAAAGGACAGCGGTAGCTCGGGAGGTAGAGCGGGTTGCCCAGTATTCGGAAGATTGCAGGTTTGATCCCGGCTCCGACCATTAATTGCTACTGTTGTGTCCTTGGGCAAGACACCTAACCCACCTTGCCTGCTGTTGGTGGTCAGAAGGAATGATGGCACCAGCGTTCAGACGGCCTCGCCTCAGTGCGTCCCACAACAGCTGCGGCTACATCGTAGCTCATCATCACCTGCGTGTGAATGGGTGGATGACGGATCGTGTTGCTAAGCACATTTGGGGGTTTAGGGACCCCAAGAAGGCGCTATACCACTACTGCCCATTTACCATTTACTGGCACAGAAAAAAGTAAGTCATGATATCTTAATATTTTTATGTTTTACAGCAGCTGAACAATTAGCATACTATACTCTCTGAACAGTTTGCCCAGCAGCAACACGCGGACCTAACAGCGTAAAGTCTACACACCAATGTTTTAAATCTGAGACATAAAACAGAGTCTGTGCATATGATTCATGGCCACGTGCTGATTAAATTAAACACGGCGCTTTTTTTTCACACACAAAATGAAGTGGAGCTGTCTAAAAATCAACTTTTCCCCTGCTAGAAAAAGAAAAGCCATACATCTGTTTCACACATCCAGGTCCTGCCACATTCTCCTGCGTCTGCCAAAAGCTTTTAGGGATGCTGGGCCCTTGGTGCCAGAGTGAGCGTAGCGCTGTGCAGAGTGGGAGTTCAGCTTTTAAACGCAACACAGTCATCAGTCTGAAAAAGGTGGACCAGATCATCGAGATAAAATAATAATCACAAGGACACACTTACAGGGTCAATTTGCAACACTAAAACCTCTCAAACACTTTTTCTTGTCTGAATGTGTTCATGCTAAGTTAAATAAAACATCAGGAGACACCTCAGGAGCAGGACGTCTTTTTTTCCAAGAGCAAACGTGCAAATATTATCCGTGTGTCCCGTGTTTAACTACACCGATGTGATTTATCGCCTTCCTGGGTGTTTTTAAAAGCTTTAAATGTTATTCTAAACAGATTTGATGGTCGCTGCCCTGCAGAGGACTTTTAACGTTCAGGGATGAACACCCCGCAGTCAGAAACACTCTGACGGTTTACGAAGAAGTGGCAAACACTGCTGATACTTTAATTTTATGAACATGCCAGAGATTATTACCAAGGGCAGTAGCTGAGCGCGGCTTAAATGGGATTATTTTTAAAAGTACGCTCAGCTCAAATATAGGCAGAACTTTCAATTCAGAATCAGGCAGATAAATCAAGGATAAATAAAAATGTTCAGATTTGATTAAAGGGGCATTATGGAAGTTTGACAGCCAAAACATGTATAGAAATAATACATTTCTTCTTCATACATTCTCCTGCAATGCCCTGGTCCTGTAGAATGAGCCCTGGCATTTTTACTGTGATTGCCTGTTTTTCTGTAAAATCACAGAAAAAGAGAGCTGCTCGGGTCGAGCAGGCTGCTTCATGCGCGTTCACGCTCAGGCATCGCCCGTAGCATTTGCTATCAGTAGCTCTAGCAGCAGAGAGAGAGGTAGTACCAACTCAGTGACTTTGTCGCTGTTCCTAACGCCTAGTGATGAACCTAGCTACATTTCTGAGGACCCTCAGCTACTTTCTTCTAGATATTTCCTGCAAATTAGCAACAAAATAGCCATTTTCGCTCCGAACCGTTCTTTGAACGTTGTTTCAGCTGTCATCAAGGATATAAATGTTACAGATACAAAGGACATCACTGGCACTTTAGCTCATCCAGTAAGACATCGGACTCTCATGCAGAAGACCTGGGTTTGATTCTGGATGTGAACATAGTTTATTTAGAGTTTCTTTTTTACATTAATGGTATATTTTTTTACAGTAAGATGCCCAAATTTTTATTTGAGACTCGCCGAACGGCATTGAATTCACAGATAAAAAAGATGTGGGTTCAACTTTCATTTTGGAACAATTTTTCAAGCAAGGGAAAGGAATGATCTGAGCATGCAGGAGGACTGACCCATCATAAACCTTTGTCGGCTGTGCTGAAGAGAAAGCTACAGAACCAAATTATTTAATTAATTAGCTGCGCGTTCTCCTGTCCTCTGTCCTCCGGGCCACACACACACACACACACATGGGACTGTCTCAGCTGTTATTTTCATTAAGGAGTGTGCACGTACAGCATGCGTGCCTCGTGCACGAGCCTACTATTGAAGCTGCCATTACGCTTTTGGCCTGAGGGGGCAATCGCGAGCATAAAAATTCAAAACTCTGTAAAGTCCCTTTAAAAAAACTGAAGTTAGGACTCTGCATTTAGTTAAAGGAGTCGTTCACTTGTTTAATTACAGTAATAGGAAGGAAGGCCTTGTAAATTATTCTCAGGGTGCGCCATTTCTCTGACCTAAAAGTTGCCCACATCACAGCTGAGCTTCAGACGGCGGGTCTCTGAGCCTTATTTGCTGATATTTGGACATCTTGCCTCAGATTGGACAACAGCAACACGACTACCACTGACTCGCAACATGGATGTTTAATCTCCACAAATAACCCGAGCCTGGAGGAGTTCTGCCATGTGGTGCAGTTGTTAATGCTAACAGTTAGCTTCTACTAGCTGAGACGTTCTCTGCTGTTTCCCAGATGATAAACCAACAACAGCCTTCTCCATTGTGAGCTAAGATGGGTGAGTCCATGAACTTTAAGAGACAGTGTGACGTAGATCTGTCAGGACTTTTGAATCCTAGAGTTTCACCATCTGTTTTCTATCAGAAGCTAATGCCGGAGATAGGTGTAGGAGACTATTTTCTTGTTCAACCTGCATGAAAAACTCAGAGTGACCGATTATAAATCAGAAAAAACATTTAAAAATGCTTTTTCAGTCAACCACACCTTTGGTTTAGGGCCTAAACAATCACAAAAATGATTTTTCCACATTCCGCTTTGATTGTGTTCTCGTGGTTCGGGCATGTTTCTAACTTGTCTGAAAGTTACATTCACACGAATCCTTCCTGTAATGTTCTACAGCATCTTTGTTTCGTTTAAATCAGCATGTAAAGGGCAGATGGGATGGATAAATGGGTCTGTAAAAAGTCAACCTGAAAATCTTTTGGTAATCAGAAAAGCAAATTCCTTTCATGACCCTCTGACCTGCCTTAGTCAGTGTCTAAGTGCAGACAGAGACTCAGCTTTAAGGGTGAATCCAGCTCTTGAAAATCACTCAAACATGTGGTTTTGAGCTTGTGCGTGTTTTTCTGTTTTCTACCACAATAACAAATGAAAACGCTGGTTGGTCCAGACAAATTCAGGCGTTGAAACTACACTGACAGACCTGTGACCTCTGACCTCACTGGAAGATTTCAGACTGACTGGCAAACCAGACAACCCCAGACAAAAGCAGATTTAGTTCTTTTTTCCCCTCGTCACGTTTGCTCAGCAGCGTTGAGCGTCCGGCTAACCGTGCGGCCTCGGATCTGATGGCGGTGCACCGTTCCCTTTACATTTCATTACAGCCCAAACCGCGCTGTAATGCCTCTCGGACTGTTTCCATTACTGCAACCCAGAGAGGAGACAACACTCCCATTGTGATCCTTCTGGAACCACCTCAAAGGCGGCGAGGACGCTGTCAACTTTGCAGATGTAATGAAAAAGAAAAAGCTTTTTAATTGGGCCAATTTCCTCGTCCATGTCAGTTAGTGTAAAAGCCAAGCTGCATCTACGAAGGAAGAACAAAAACTTTGATGCAAACCGGCTGCGTGTCATCTGCAGCAGACAGCCTGTCGTTCAATAATCTCATGTTAGGAAATGCAAATCAATCAGTCTGGATTCTTGACTCAACGTTTGGGGTTAAACTACAGGGCTTTAGCGCCACTCCAAAACCATATTCCACCATTCAGCTCCATTTACAAGGAGCCATAGCCAACGATTCCTGTTAAGTGATGTGGATTAACATTCCTCTCTGCCTCAAGGCAAAAAGATGAGGCCAACAAGATGTTGAGCGAGCTGGGGGAAAGGAGGCCAGTCGTTAAAGCTTTGCATCATTCGGAGCACCGCGAGCTGCAGCCTCATTGTAAATAACAGTCTAAAGCATTTAGGGAGGACAGAGGTAATCCAAACAAACCCTGGAAATCTTCCGGAGATCATTCATAACTACCCATCAAGACTGGGAGGCTCTTTACTGCAGACTCAAAAAGAAAAACAAGAAGAAAATGTTTAAACCCTTTTCCTGAGCTCCTTCATAAACATCTCATATCTAGCTCAAACGGAATCAATCATACTTCTATTAGTCAAACAATTGTGGACTGTGGGGGTGGCTTCCCTCAGAGCTAAACGCTGCAAAAGTCAAATTTTACATAAAAAAAATTCTATCCCATTAACCATTAGTTTAATCAACTTAACCTATTGTGAGAGACAGCAAGTGTTTGCCTAATAGATAATCCTCTTTGCATGCTTATCTTTAATACATTTGCATTTGTAGAGGGCGCTTAGGGGCGCAATGGCTTGACCAGAACACCCCTTTTGTGTTTCCCCGTGCCGAGGCTTCCGAATCACAAAAGCAGCAGCATCTAGAAACCAAAGAGCATTTCCATGAGAGGAGAGGCTGAATAAAGGCAGCCGTGAGAGGGATGATGGGAGTGAAAACAAACCCCTAATAAAAATATCCCGATGGGGACGAGACAGAGGAAGAGTCAGCTCGGAGATGGTGGTTATATACAGATTTGGGCCAGAGTTGGAGGAGAGGAGAGGCGGAGGAGACTCACCAGACGCGCTCCGGTCCAGGACGCTCTGGAGGAGCAGCGCGATCCAAAGCGCGCAGGCGGGACATCTCCACACACGGTCTGGATACATTCCTCCGGCTCTGGCCGCTCTCACATCCACTGCGCACTATTTCCTAATTCGAGCGCTTCAGACAATAATAATAACAATAATAAATAAAAAATAATCTCAAATCTCAGTCAGAGCGTTGGTGAACTGGTGTCCGGCTTCCTTTAAAAAGCGCACCTCGGAACGAGTCTTCGGGACAACACTCCGTCTCTTGTTCCTCCTCTGACCTCGAGATCAGCTCACTTCTGTCCCGACTGGAAGTCTCTGCGAACGAGCGCAACTTCCTTCCAACAAACTTCAGTCAGGGATCAGAGCCCACCGCAGCCACATGGCGGCGGTTAGACGCGTGTCGCCACCGTGTGGCCACTGCAGTTCATCAGAAACAAGCCTTTGGCATTATTTATTTAAATAAACTCCCAATCAGATTTGTTTTTAAATCGCAGTTTGTATTGTCCAAGTTAAATAAGTGAAGTTAGTTTATGTAAATTCCAACCTTAACACGCGGACTAGACCCTGATGCTGCGGGGAAACCGCAGGTGCGGTGATTGGGCTGCGTTCCATTCAGCTAAAGCCTCCTGTTTGATGAGGAGGCTATTCTCCTGATAAGGAGAATTAGTCCACATTTTCTCCTCATTAAAATCCAGATGTGCAGAAGGAATTTAAAATCTAAAATTATGACGCTTAAGGAAAACTAGGTTTGATTTGAAATGTCAGTGATTTCGAAATTTGACCCCCCGGCATTTTGCACGCTCTTCCCTGCAGCATGTTGAATCTTCATAACATGTTCTCTAAATTGACACACACTGAAACTATTGTAAGTTGTTAATTTTTATAAATTTTGAGTGATTAACAGATCAAAATAATGTTTTTATATTTTTATTTTAATCCCAAATAGCAACGAAGAACGTTAAAACGCATAATTTCATTACAAGCATCCCACATTTATGGTTAAACTTGTTTTAGAATAGAATAGAAAATCCCTTTATTGTCCCTCAGTGTAGAGATGTTTGTGTCACAGCAGCTACTAGATTCACAACTTAAGCATAAAGGAGAATGTAAAAAATAAAGAGTAATTTATAACAGTAAACACCAAGAAACAAACACACATGATTCAAATAATTTAAATAAATTAAAAAGGAAAAACTCACGGCAGATAAGGAGCCGAAATGGGCTGCTTGCTTGAGCCTTCCAGATGAAAACCTTTCATTAGATTTTATTATATTTACACTAACAACGAATTTTAAAATCAGGCCACATTTTGAGCACTTTATTCTCAAATTTTGACAAAGAAAAAATGTGTCTTCTTCCAGCTTTGAGCACTAAGTAGTCATTTTGATTTAGTTGTTAATAATAAAATTAAATTGATCACGTATGGTTGGGGATACAGAAATAGTCAAATAAGAGAAATAATTTAAATTATATAAATTATGAACATATTGCATCTCACACACACACACACACACACACACTTTCTTGAGAGGAGTTTGCACGTTTTTACATGCATTTAGTTTCCTCCTATAATCCCAAATCATACATGTTAGGTTAAGTGGAGACTGTGAATTAAGAGTGTGTGTGTGTGTGTGTGTGTGTGTGTGTGTGTGTGTGTGTGTGTGTGTGTGTGTGTGTGTGTGTTGTCCCTGAACACACTTTTTAAAAACCAGCATAAATGTGCCACTACCCACAATTCAGAGTAATAAACGTCTCTCTCTCTCTCTCTCTCTCTCTCTCTCTCTCTCTCTCTCTCTCTCTCTCTCTCTCTCTCTCTCTCTCTCTCTCTCTCTTTCTCTTTCTCTCTCTCTCTCTCTCTCTCTCTCTCTCTCTCTCTCTCTCTCTCTCTCTCTCTCTCTCTCTCTCTCGGTTATCTGATAACAACCCATCTGGCGCTGTTTAGGAAACTCTTTCGTATCATCTAGATAAATTACCCAACCTATTAAAACCACATTCAGTTACTTAACTCAGAGACTCACTTGCAGCCGTGCATCTCTGCACACACAGGAATGAAGTAAAGAGGAAGTGTCAAGAAAAGCAAAATGAGCTCTTATGCTGTGAACATTTGTCCCTGCAGACACCTCCACACACTCACCTGCGAGGTTCACTCTCCCTATTTCCTCTGTAACTCCACGCCTTGTTTCCCTTTATTATTCTCAGCTGAAGATTCAGACACAGACTCTGTTCCTGCGTGCACGTTTGCATAGAGACTATCCTGAGAGGTTCTTAGAGGCAGGAAAAGAATGGTAGTAATTTAGTATCTCCGGTTCTCCCGTATTGTGACCCTCGTTAGGAGGAAACCTCATCCCCTGTGAGGTATGTTTTGATTTAACTGCTGCACAGTAAAGGAAAAACATGCAAGACTAATAGCTAAAACTGGATTTTCATCCAAAGACCAAATAAAAAGCGAAGCAGGCAGCTCACACATCTGGTACCTTTCTTCATCATTAGTTCCAGGTTGAGTTCCATCCACGTGCCATCCTTTTCTCCTGTTCCACCATCTATACACAGAATCATCCCTGGAGAGATGCTGCTAACTGGAGTGTGGAGATAAAGCAGCACAAGTTTCCTGTAAATGGAGAAAAGGGTGTGTTCGTTTTTACTTTGTGGTCTTCTTTAGAGCTGGAGAGCTTTCAGGATGCCTGACTGTAAGAGCGAGTCGCTAAAGACGCCAGAAGCTCAGATCAAAAGTAAGAAAACCTAACTGTGGATAATTTGGATGGCGAATACACTCTTCAGCAAATGCAGTAATGATCAGAAAACTGTTTTTCTATTTCATCACAATGGTAATAATAATTCATTCATGTTAAAGGACAAAAATCACATTTGTGCATTAGCTTAAAACCGTTTCAAACATTGCAAAACCTCTCATATGGTTTAGAGTTTTGAAGGTACAATGAGTAAGAATGTGTTCGTTCATTCAGTTTCCTCCGCTTATTCGAGTCCGGGTCATGGGGTTCGTTCACAGCAAAATAATCAGAAAACAGTCAAACATGTCAATCAATCATGCTGGAAGGAAGGTTACATTAAAACAGGTTTCTTTCTAAGCCAGCTGGGGAGCTGTCAGTTTTCCTTCTTTTAAAAAAGCTGAAGAGGGACACAGTCTTGGATTACAATCTGTGAGCCAACAAGGTTGCAGTGTCTGCACCAGCTAACGCAGCAACACTGGCATTTGTAATTCGACACCAGCAAGTAAAAAGCTCCAGAGTTGTGATCAATCCGTTAGCCAGTAAACAGGAGCGACCCAGACGTTATTTCCCCAAAGAAGCATCTTTTGTTTTACTCTAAAAACAGGTGAAGCAGTCTGGAGATTAACGTTGAGCTAACAATGCTAACGGTGAATTAGGAGCAAATAGACAGCTCTAAAAATCAATTACCTTCAACTTGTTTCAGTGTAATACTTATCTTCTTATCAAATACTGTGTGCCTTGTCTTCACTTGTCTAGAGCAACAGCCATGAAACTCAAACCGGAGGAGGAGGAGAGTCACTTGTCTGTTTTGATACATGGACAGCAGTAACCAAATTTGATGACAGGATGCAAGTAAAGTTGAAAAAAGTGCATAATTCACAATAAAATGTCATATTTTTGCTGCAGTTATGACACAGGTCGAGAATTCTAACAAGATTAATATCACATTGGACTAAATACATTCTAGGAGTGAGATGTTGTTTGTGTTTGTTCTTTTCGAAACACCAGTTAGATTTTTCATTTCAAACTGATTAATTTAATCCAGCATATGTTCACGGTTTTCTTTCTCTTCAAGGGAGGGGAAACGTCTCTATTGATCAAGTTGTGAGATTTTTTTCTGACTTGTTTTTACTTCCTTGATGTTCATCAGCTCCATTCAGCCTAAAATTGGATGAGATTATTGAAATTGCAACCATGCATGGAGAAAGTCATCTAACTTTAATGTTGGTGGGGATTAGGGTTCAAAAGGTCCCCTTGGGGAGCAAATCCCCAGGGATTTTAAATCCCACAGACAGGGAGACTCTTTGTTCCCAAGCTGGGAATGATGTCTCTGTCAGTAACTGAGAATGCCAGGACAACCATGATTAGAACCATTCAAAAAATATCTATTCACTTCAATTCAAGTTTATTTATATAACGCCAAATCACGACAAGAGTCGTCTCAAGGCACTTCACATAGTAAACATTCCAATACAGGTCAGTTCATTAAGCCAATCAGTTAAAAGTTCCCTATATAAGGAACCCAGCAAATTGCATCAAGTCACTGACTAGTGTCAGTGTCTTTACAGCAATCCTCATACTAAACAAGCATTTAGCGACAGTGGAGAGGAAAACTCCCTTTTAACAGGAAGAAACCTCCAGAGGATCCTGGCTCAGTATAATCAGCCATCCTCCACGACTCACTGGGGATCGAGAAGACAGAGCAGACACACACACACACACACACACACACACACACACGCATGCACGCACACACACGCACACACACACACACACACACACACACACACACACACACACACACACACACACACACAACATATACACCAAGTAGTGTTTCTATGGTTACATTGTGATTTCTTAGTAAATATTCTATTTGGTGAGAGATAAACTTTATTGTATTTATCCTAGTGAATCTATAATTAAACAGATAAACTAGTAGTAGCACATCCAACGTCAAATAAGTAAAATGTTATCATCAGGAGAGGGAGAATGTTTAAGTGGTTAGCAGCAGTGTGCTAGTCGATGGCCCCCTCCATGAGGGCACCACAGCTCAGCAGAACATCATCGTAGCTTCTTCTGGGGAGAAAAACACTTAAGAGAGAAAATAAAGTTAACAGCTGAAATTGCAGAAAATAATACAGTTAAAGAGCAGATTGTAGAAGAAAGTAGTTGAGTGTGAAAAGTGGTCAGTGTATCCTCCAGCAGTCTAAGCCTATAGCAGCATAACTACAGAGATAACTCTGGATAACGTAGCCTTTTAGATGAAGGCATGCTGGAGGCAGGGCAAGGGAGAGCCGTCTTTACCGACTGTACACTCCACCTCCCTGTACTCCCCCACTTGTCCAGATCTGGGCTAACATCAGATTTTAACCATAGACCCTATCAAATAAAAATGTTTTAAGCCTAGTCGTAAAAGTAGACAAGGTGTCTGCCACACGGACTAAAGCTTGGAGCTGGTTCCACAGGAGAGGAGCCTGATAGCTAAAAGATCTGCCTCTCATCCTAATTTTAGATATTCTGGGAACCACCAGTAAACCTGCAGTCTGAGAGCGAAGTGCTCGGTTAGGAACGTATGGAACAATCAGATCACTGATGTATGATGGAGCTTGATTATCAAGAGCTTTA